CTCTCTCTCTCAGTCTCTATTTGGTAAACTCATGTAAAAATAATGATAAAGGGAACCAGCAGTTAGCGTAATGGCTATGTCGCTGGACTCCCACATAGTCGACCGTGGTTCGCGTCCCGGACCCGGTGGCTTAAAACTCACGCCGGGCGCGTGTGCGTGCGTGCCCAAGATCCGGGGAGGAGAATGGAGGAGAAGGGATTGCGGCGTGACCATCCCCCCTAGGAGGTGATTTCTCGCTTTCTGTCTCTATGTCTCTCTCTGTCTGTCTGGCGAGCGCACGCGCCGTATAGTGGAAAAAAAAAAAAAAAAAAAACCTCTCAAAAAAAAAATAATGATAAATAAAATAAATTTTTTTAAAAAGTTACACTTTGTGGGACCAGCAGATCGCATAGTGGTTACAGTGCAGAACTCCCACATGGCAGGCCAAGGTTCAAGTCCTGGACCTGGTGGCTTAAAACACACTGGGTGTGTGTGCATGTGTGCCCAAGATCCCAGAAGGAGAATGGGGGAGAAGTGATTGCAGCGTGGTCATCCCCCCTTGGAGGTGATTTCTCACTTAACCTCTCACAGTCTCTGTCTTTCTCTCCAGTGAGTGAGTACACATGCCCTAAGGTCAAAACCTCTACATTAAAAAAAAAAAAGTTAGACTTTGTTATCAAAACAGGTTTTTTAAGCATTGTTTTCATTTAGTTTTATTTATTTTTGGTTTGCTATAAGGCATGCGCACTAACCAGAAAGAGAGAGGGAAACTCAGAAAGCAAGCCTCCAGGTCCAGGAATCGAACCTCCGTGGGCCAAGAGGGGAATCCAGCACTTTAACCACCACACCACCTGCTGGTCCTCAAAATAGTTTTAAACTGTGACATAATCGTACCTTCTGCATTAATGTATTCAGTAACAAAGCCAGTAGCAAATCTTTCTGTTGCCTATACTGATAATTGAGTGAAATGGTAAATTTCAATGAGTACTATAAAAAATGAAGAGGTATTTCTGTTTTGCATTCGAGTTCAAAGACTCTCCAAATTCCATTTGTGGACCCTAGGTTGAGAACCTAGGGTTGAGAAAGCCAATAAAACGACATTTGGCGAAGCATCAAATGAAAACTAAAGCTTTGCAAAATGCATTGTGAGGTGAGGGGAATGAAGAGAGTAAGCAATATTTTTTTCAAAAATCATGACAACCATTAGTCAGCAAGAGCACCACATGTTCCAGATTGAATCCAGAAAGGGTGCTTGGGAGAAATGGCATGGCACCACTGGAATCCACCCTACAGTGAGGGTACTGTGAACCAGGGTACAGTGACCCAGCTCAGTCCCGATCGACGATGAACTTGAACAAATCTCCTTCCTTCTGGGATCCTCAGTTTCTTCATGAATAAAATAAGAGGACCGCACGTGTATCATGATCTCTTAGGCCCTTTCGGTCCTAAATTCCATCATCTTATTATTTCCTCCTTACTTGAGCCTATTTTGCTGCAAAACATCACGTCACTGCCTTTTTTAAACTTGGAAAAGAAATTTTTACCAGATTCGATTGTGCTCATGTATAACATAACAACTCGAAGATACGTGGACATTACAACTTGGAAAAGAAAAGCCTGTTTTTCACACATCTCCATAAAAAGCAATTCCAGCACTGATCTTCCCTGCGATTAAAATACAGGATGTGTTTTCGTTTGAATTCTAGCATCATCATATACAAAATGAACAAATGGCCAGCTACTTAAAATACATAACTCACCTACACCTTTTCCATACTTGCATCAATGAACAGAATTACAGAGTACATAGCCCTGGAGATTACAATCAATCAGATTTGATTACTGCTAAAGAAACCTAAGAGGGGAAGGAACTAAGTCAAAACTGTAAAAGAATAGGAACTCGAATCCAGGTCTTCTAACTATAAATTCACACTCTCCTAAACGCACCTGCACTTAACTGCCTCTAAAATCTTGAGATACTTCCCCAACTTGAAAATGTTAGCCAAGATTAGAAATAGCAAAAAGCACCCAAAAGTTAGAATTCTATTTAGAAAAAAAAAAACTGGCTGAAATCATGAAATAATTAAATTCCACTAGTCTGCCCAGAAAGTGATGACCCCACTAAAATCCCAGCTACGTGGCATTCTTTGAAGATTGTGTAACACGTACAAAGATGCAGATGTATTAATATTTGTACATGGACATAGTCATCTATCAGTTCTTCAGTCTGTGCTCTGAGACTTCCTAGTAACGTCTTACTAAGAAATTCAGAAAAGAGCAAAAAGGACAGTCACATTTTTTTAAAGGCATTGTGTTTATAAATTTCTCTCAGTATCAAATTTGGGGCATTTTTAGACCTCAAGAATAATTTTATCAATAAGAAAATCTACTAGAAAGTGTCTATTTGCCAATGTATTTATTTTAAGGGTTTAGTCATCTTAATCTTTGTTTGCCTTTTGTTTTAAAAGGGAAGGCACTGTCTCAGGTCCTAAGGGTAATATATGAATGAATAGGAGTCTCTGAAACTCTACAAACTTACTCTCTATTTCTTTTTTTTTTTTTGGAGAGGTTTTTGTTTTTGTTTTTTCGCTATAGGGCGCGTGCGCTCGCCAGACAGAGACATAGAGACAGAAAGCGAGAAATCACCCCCTGGGGGGGATGGTCACGTCGCAATCCCTTCTCCTCCATTCTTCTCTCGAGATCTTGGGCACGCATGAACACGCGCCCGGCGCGAGTTATAAGCCACCGGGTCCGGGACCCAAACCGCCGTCATTTACGTGGTAGTCCAGCGACATAGCCATTACGCTAACTGCTGGTTCCTCTTACTCTCTATTTCACCTGCACTCTTCAATACATTTAATATTGCTAGAGTCAGAACTCTACTCTCAAAAAAAAAAGAAAGAAAGAAAAAGATCATTCAAGTATTCAACACTAAGATTAACGAGCTCTGTTCACATTTCACTACCTCAGGGAGACCTTCCCTAACCTCCTGCTTGAAGAAAGCAATGCTTACCCAAAGCAGTCACTCTCTAAGTTAGCCAACTTCTGCTTAAACTTGCCAACACCTGAAATTGTCATTCATTATGTATTTGCTTACATGTTTCCTTCTGTACCTGTTCAGGGCTGAATCCCCAATGGCTAAACAGCACAGACCCACTGCAGGAGCAAAAGTAACTGCTGAGTGTCTGGCTCAAATATATATATTAGGTCTTACTAGGGTCCCCTGAAAGATTTAGTGAAGGGCAGAACACATGCCATGTACTTACATAGCCTTCTTGGGAGTGACCCTGTGGTACTAGCAAGCCTGGGTATAGATCCTTTTTGTGCTCAGGCATGCC